ACATTACGCAGAAACCATCTCCACTGCTGCTGGACCCGACACATAGCCCCTAACCCGCGCCGAATTCACCCACCCGCTCCCCGGCAATGACAGGACGACGCGCTTTTCACTCGGAGGAAGGGTCTGTCTCCACACCACCGCCGGGGTGCGGCATGGACGGTGCTGACCTCGCCGCCATGACCGCCACGAGACTTTGAAGGACCATGTTCCCCTCCTGCATGGCGCCAGCAACAGCGCCGATTTGGACCGCCATGTCACCCATCCGGGATTAAACCATTGCTGCGCTTTCAGCTGTTGCACGTGCCAATGCTGACGACGCTCTGTCCAGTCCATCGCATAGCTTTGTCGTGGAATCCGCCATCGCTGTCGTCATTCCGACATTAGATGTCGTCGCCTCGCTGCGTGCTCTACCGGAGGATGTCCTGCGTGTCTTCGCCCCGCCGTCCAATGCATCCGTGCATCCCCCCTCGCAACCCTGCCCAAAACCACTTCCCCCGAGCTCCTTAGACGCTAAGGTGTTGTCACATGTGGCGGACGCCTTCAGGCGCCACCACTCCATAGCATCCCACAAAGGCCGTTCAAACGTTGTGCACACCTCCCTTTCCTTTCGCTCCTCCGTCGTCATGTTGAAATACCCGGCCGAACCCGATCTTTCACACTTGTCCCTGATCAATGCAACTATGTCCCTCATAGAGTTCCATTTCTTCCTGCAGTCTTCCGATATCCTGAAGAAGTTCTCGCCACGCATGCGGACGGAGATCCACTTGAATCGCTCCTGCCTCGTCTTGTGCTTATGCACACCGCTCGCATCAGCCATGAGAGCATCGTCCTTGCCGCAGATGCTCGCCAGCATGATACGCTCCTCCAACGTCCAAGGCACATGTTTCTTCATGCTCTCCGGCCGTGGAGCCCGTCTGGACCGGCTACCCCTCCCTCCTTGGCTGTTTTCTGCCGTCGACGGGCCGGCCCCCGCTTGTGCGGGAGTGGATGTGGGCGCCGCATCGCTTCCACGTCTCTTTCTCGTCGAAGATTCTGTCTCCTTCTAAGGTCGGTCGACAACAGGACTGCTGCGCCGGTCGTCAGATGTATGAGCCTGACTACAAGCTTGCCTCGTTTCTTCTGTCGGGAAGTCGCATCTCCCACCACCCACTGTGGATCCCGGTGCGTCGTGCTCTACAGGCCGTGGACATTGCATGACCGACTCCCACTTGCATGCTGCCTGAAGACTGCAGATCATCTTTGATTGTCGGCCGATGCACCGGTGGAGAGGACGATGATGGGCTTCGACCGTTCATTAGCCTTTGACGAGAACCCACGTCGGTGACGTCATTCACATTCCAATTCGCAGTCGGTGATGGTAGACGCTGCTGCCCACTGGATCCCGTTCTCAGTTGCATGCCAAATGGCGATCCCGCCAGACTCTCGTTCTGCGCTCCACGCCAAGCTCGTGCATGACCCTCCTGCCCGCCGCCACGTCCCTACGAGCCGAACACAGGTGAGAATCCCGGATGAGACGGGTCGCCAGTTTCCTGCATCCTGCAATACGAACGTGCATCCACGTTAGATGATCCTCCGCGATCGGCACCCGGACGTGATACATGACCACCACCTCCCGGACCCGATGGCGAGTACAGCGACTGCTGCACTCCGTGTTCGACATCGTCGAACTTTGTTTGACACCAACTTCGCCCTCCACCATGGTGTACTGACCTGTATCTGTCGGCATGGCTGTCCACCCACTCTTCTGACCCCCCGTATTCATGCCGACCTTCACGACGCTCGACGTAATGTGTGTCCGCTGCATGTCCCAGCTCCATCGTCGCTGGGCCGTCGTAATTGCCCATCAGCTCCGACGTGAACCCCCTCCGTCCATGTCTCTCTCTCTCTCTCTCTCTCTCTCTCTCTCTCTCTCTCTCTCTCTCTCTCT